TGGTCCCAGTTTGCAGTGGGCTTTGAGTTTTTTTATTGGGTTTTCCTGGGTTAGCTTCCTTTCTCGTTACAGGGAGCCCCCCCCTCTCGCAGAAAGCATCCTTGCGAGGAGACGTGGCTGCAAAATGGCAGTTCGCTGTCAACGCTTGGGGAAAGGCGTTTGATCTTAGGGCGGCCAGAGGGCTAAGCTCGGTTTTAACCTCAGCGGTTGAAAAGATGCAAGATCTGTTCAAGACTGGGGGCGAAATTGTTTTCACCTTGCAGGGAAAGAGCTGCTGCCTTCGGCCGGAGAGGAATTCCCCTCCCTGCGGCTGCCGCCACCACCGGCAGAAGTTTTTGTCATTTTTGTCACCGACCGAGCAAAGGACGGCTTGGAAGTCCGTCGTGAGCACTTCGTGCGCATCCCACCCCCCCTCCCGCTGCATCCCGCGGCCCCCCTGAAGTCGGGGACCGCTCCGGTGGGTTCCTGCTCCCCCGGGAGCCGCACGGGTGGAGCTGCCGCCCCCCCCCCCCACCCCGGGGCTTTAACACCGCCGGGGGTTGGGATTTTGTCACTCTCTTTGCAACGGAGAAGAAAACGATAACAAGTACTTAAAATCATCCAGTGCTTGGTTTATCACTATTTACTTTATGGGGGAAAAAAAAATAAAAATAAGAGGGCTTGTGCGGGAGCTGTAGGCAGGTACAGAAACTGCGTTTCCTCTACCTGTCCTCTCGGGTTTCTCTGTGGTTTCCTCCCCTTTCCTCGACGTGCTTTGCCTCCTGGCCCCAGTCTGCTCCCAGCTCCGTGCTGGAGCAGCCACAGCCCCTGGGTAACCCGGGGTGAGTGGCAGAGAACGGCAGAGTCTGAAGGGGCACACAGGAGAGTGAAACACAGACCTTTGGGCTTCTACCGACGCGATTTAGTTGCAGATCCTCCCCCCACTACTTCCCCCCCCCGCGATGTTCAGGGTTATGGTCCTGTGCACAAAAGCACTAGAGCTGGGCACAGGGAAGGCGAGATCCCCATTCTCCCTTGGTACCAGGCGGTGGAGAAATGTCTGGTGCCGTTTAGATGTGATGAACTGGCATGAATCCCCTCGCGAACCTCATGGCATTGTTATCTTAATTCATATTTAAGATATGTTTTTCACCTTTATGGAGAATGGTGTTCCAAAACCTCTTGTGGGCACAGCCCTGACTTTGCACAGTTCAGCCCCGAGCCGTGGAGATGGGCAGAGGACTGCCCTTGATTGCAACCACTAGAACTACCATAGAAGCAACCTTACTCACTTCTTCTGCAAGGGTCTTGTGAATCACTTAAAAAAAATAAAATTGGCTAAACACCAACAGAGAGTAATGAGGGATCACAGCGCAGCTGCACATCCCCTACAGCCCCCCCCCCAGACAGCTGGGGCACACCCAGCTTCTCTGTCTGTCCCCTCTGCCAAGTCACTGGTCACCTGAATATACCTCTGGGTTCAATAGCTTAACCACCTTCTCATTTAAGGTAGGATAAATATTATCCCTTTATTGCAGATTGCCAGTTTAATCGTTGAATAATCTCTACCCAGCGGCGATCACTAGGGCACTGCACCAAAATTGCTTCGCGGAGTGGTGTTGGACTTAAGCGCCTTTGAATTCCCACCCAAGAAAACAACTCATGTTGCAGGTATTGCTTTTTTTGGACTCCCATCGCCCGTTTTCAGCCTGCACCCCTGGATGTCTAGCATCTGCCCAAGGGGTGGATGGAGGGAACCCTGCGGGGAAGGGGTGGGCTGCCAGGTTTCGGCGCAGGTCGCCGGAGCTGACCCATGGGTCAGGCGACCTGCGCCGAAACCTGGCAGCCCCCCCCCAAGCAAGCAGGCAGGAGATGAGCTACGATGTGCATAGCCACATCCTCGCTTCACAGTCTGCTGGACCACTGAGGCTCAGTTTGGCTCGGACACAGCGGCTTGCAGTGCCACTGTTTTTCCCCGTCTGTGAAGCAGCCCTAGCTTTTGTTGCTCATTTTGGTTTCGGTGCTAGCTCAGGGAGCAATTTCTGTATTAAGTTGCATCTGGACAGAGGCTTGACATCAGCAGTGGTGGTGACTCTGGGATAATTAGTTGCACACTTAATATTTGGCCTGTGCCTATGTGTAGGCAGAAGCTGGGCCTTGTTCCATAGGTTTAATTCAAAAAACTATTTTCAAAATCCTTTTTTATTCAGGTGTCATTATTTTTTTAATTCCCTGGTGGCTTATTTTTCGGTTAACATGGTTTTCACTACAGGTAGAGGACGGCAGTCAGCTTTAGGTGAATGTGTCTCACCTTTATTTCTCTTCTGCTGTTTCCCCGCTTCTAATAACTCAAAACTTCTCTGGTCCACACTCCAAG